TAGATCACCATCCCATTAGATTAGGAACAAAAATCTTTTTACATGGCCCTACTCCTTTCAAATCTTAAAACATGTGGTTGACGCATCCGGATTTTATTCGGAAAGTGAAGGAATGGTGGAAGGAGGAATTAAGGGGATTAAGGTGGGAAGGAATCAAATTCCATAAGAAATTGCAAAGATTAAGCACTAAAATAAAGGAGTGGAATAGGGATCATTTTGGAAGGTTAGAAGAAAGGAAACTGATTCTAATTCCCAGATTGAAGAGTTGGACAATGTGGAAAATGAGAGAAATCTCAGTGCGAAAGAGAGGGATTTAAGATGGAAATCAAAGAAAGAATTGGAAGAAGTCCTTAAGAGAGAGGAAATATCTTGGAGACAAAAGTCAAGACAAAAATGGATAAAGGGGATGAGAATACAAAATTCTTTCATGCAATTGCCAATGGAAGAAGGTGCAAAAACTGTGGCTAGGTTGGAAATCAATGGAGAGCTAATCTCAAATCAGGATGAAATTGCCGGAATCTTTGTGGACCACTTTAAATCCCTTTATAGGATATGTCGAGTTTAGAAGGATTGGAGTGGCCTTTACTAGATGAGGAGGTAGCAAATTGGCTGGGAAGAGATTTTGAGGAAGAAGAAATAAGAAAGGCAATGTTCACCATGAATAGGTCTAAAGCACCGGGCCCAGATGGATTCACAAAGGTTTTCTATCAGGATTGTTGGGAAGTGCAGAAAGATGATTTACTTAAAGTCTTTAAGGAATTCTCAAATACACATATTGTTAGCCTTGGAGTTAATGCAACTTTCTTGGCCTTTGATTCGAAAAAAAGGTGATGCTAGCCATCCAAAGGATTTCTGACCTATTAGTCTAGTGACTAGTGTTTACAAGATAATTGTTAAAGTCCTATCATTGAGGATCAAAGTAATTCTCCCTTCCCTCATTAGTCAATACAAGGAGCTTTTGTTCAAGGGAGACAAATAGTTGATCAAATTCTAATAGCCAATGAATGTGTAGAGGAGATGAAGAGATCTAGGAGGGAAGGTTTTGTGTGCAAATTGGACTTAGAAAAGGCCTATGACATGGTGGATTGGGGTTATTTGAAAGAAGTTTTGCATCAATGGGGGTTCAGGGAAAGATGGTGCAATTGGATGTTTGGGTGTGTACGATCTTGGCATTTTTCTATCCTAGTTAATGGTGTGGTAAAAGACTTCTTCCTAGCTTGCAGAGGGTTAAGGCAAGGTGATCCCTTCTCACCCTTCCTTTTTACTTTAGTGGCATATGTCTTCAGTAGACTCCTCTCTAAGGCAGGCAAAGAAGATGATTTTAGGGGTTGGAGAGTGGGTAGAGACAATGTTCCAATTACACATCTCCAGTTTGCAGATGGTATCATTATTTTTTGTGAAGGGGGAGGCATCAGGAAAGTCGAGAGATTGAAAAATCTAATCAAGAAGTTTGAAAAAGTGTCAAATATGAAAATCAATTTGGACAAGAGTTGCATAGCAGGGATTAATATGGAGGGGATGGTCCTACATAGGATAGCAAATTGCTTAGAATGTCATATCACCCCGTGGCCTTTGACCTACCTAGGGCTTCAACTAGGTGCAAACCCGAAGGGAAGTAGTTTTTGGAACCCAGTTATAGAAAGATGTAAAAAGAGATTAGCTGCTTGGAAGAGAAATTATATCTCTTTGGGAGGTACGACCACTCTGATTTGGCTAACCTACCCATCTACTTCCTCTCTGTCTTTAGGATTCCACCAAGAGAAGAAAAGAAATTAGAAAAAATTATGAGGGATTTCCTTTGGGAGCTGGGAGAGACTAGAAAGGACCACTTAATAAAATGGGAGATTGTGTGTAAAAGATAGGAAAAAGGTGGTTTAGGTCTAGCGAATATAAGGAAGAAGAATACAACTCTGTTAGGGAAATGGTTATGGAGATGGCCTCTTGAGAGAGAAAATTTGTGGGTTGAGGTTGTGGCAAGCATAAATGGTAGATTGGAGAATGGCTGGGACACTGTGTATCACGTAGATCTACTTTGGCAGCACCTTGAAAAGCAATTCGTAGCCTCCTCCCTCAGTTTCTCAGGTACATCAGGTATGATGTTGGTTCAGGGAATTTAATTCGGTTCTGGGAAGACACTTGGCTTGGTGATCGGCCTTTAAAGGAGGTGTTTCCTTCTTTGTATTCTATTTCTTTGTATAAAAGTATGGTCATTTCAAATTTTTTGGTTCTTCCTTCTTTGTCTTTGATTAGTCTTAATTGGGATCTCGGATTTCGAAGGGGTTTGAGGGATGAGGAAGCAACTTGTCTGTTAGAACTTCTCCTTCTTGATATTTTTCTTAGAGCTTTCTTGTCCAAATAGAAGAATTTGGTCCCCAAGCTCTAAAGGTTCCTTTTCTTGTCCTCCTTTTTTAAAGTTCTTTGTCAGTTCTCTTCCTCTCTGTCCTTTCCTTGGAAAGAAGTGTGGTTTCAGCTGATTCCCTCTAAAATTCAGGCCTTTTGTTCGGAAGTGGCTCTTGGGAAAATTAACACTGGCTTATTTGCAAAAGAAGAGGCCTTTTCTATGTATTTCCCCGAATTGGTGCACTCTATGCAAATCTGATGGTGAATCTTGTTACCATTTACTAATTTCCTATTCATTTCCTACAGATATATGGATTGGTTTTCTTCTTTGTTTGGGTGCAGGTGGAATATGGCAACAAAGATAAAAATGCTGTTTGACCCATCTACCTTTGTTTTACCAAAGAAGAGGGGAAAAGTAATGTGGAGGTACACTAGAGCAGCAGTGGTGTGGACATTGTGGGAAGAGAGAAATGCCAGAATCTTCCAAGAGAAAGAAATGAGCAAATGACAAATTATGGAGTGTCTAATGACTAGGGTTATACACTGGCTACAAACGCTGGAACTATTCAAAAATTTCACATTTGATGATATTTGGAAGAATTGGTCTTTAGTGGCTTCTAGCTGAGTGTAGAAGGTTAAAGCAAGGTTGGCTTGGACACCTCCCATTGAAGGATTTCTGAAACTAAACTTTGATGGGAGTTGTCAAGGCAACCCAGGCCCAACTGGAATAGGAGGGGTCATTAGAGACAAGGAAGGAAATTTAAGAGCACTCTTCTCAGGACCAGTGGGGAATGGAAACTTCTTAAAGGCAGAATTGTACGCAGCCCTACAAGGCGTACATATTGCAAGAGAGTTAGGATTGGAAAATTTGGTGATAGAAGGGGACTCCAAGGTGGTGGTGGGTTGGCTAAAAAACCCAGATACAGTGATTTGGGCTTGTAGAAATGAAATGAAGAAATTCAAATGGATAACTCAGCAGATGGATGTAACTATACAATGGGTGGGGAGGGAGGCAAATGCTTTTGCTGATTCTCTAGCTAAACTAGGAGTAACTAGGGGTCAGTTGTACTGGGTCCACTTGTAACTTTATGATGTTTCTGTATTAATGAGTGAGGCTGCACCTCGCGCCTCATATTGGGATGCTTGTGACGGACTATTTATCATTTGCTTCTAATGAAATCAATTGATTTTTTATCTATCAAAAAAAGTACCACCAAACAGGGTCTAAAATTTGATGGATGGAGACTAGGAAATCCAGGTCTGGTGGGCATTGGAGCGGTAATAAAAAATGAAGAAGGAAACATCATTGCTATATTCTCAGGACCTATAGGAGGTGGATACTCAAGCAAGGTGGAGACATGGGCATTCTTCATGGATAAGAAGTGCAAATTTTTGAATCTCAGTACTCTGATTGTTGGAGGGGGGATTCAAGAGTTGTAATTGAATGGTTAAGTGGAGCTATGGAGATTTCATGGAAGTAGAGATGTGCTGTTCAAGAGACAAAACATATTAGAGGATCTGAGAGCAATTGTAATCTGGATACTATGATCTGCAAATGTACTGTTAGATGAGTTGGGAAAACAAAGGGCTTATGCATTAGGGCCAAGTGATGTAAAAGATTCTATTTTCTGTATCCTGGAGGGATTTGGCCAAGGCTAACTAGTAATTACCTCTCTGGGGTATAAGACTGCTATTTTTACTCCTTTTTAGCAGCATTGATAAAATTCTGATCTCTAATCCTAAAAAGAATGAACTGCAACCAAAATTATGAAACCAACCCATCTCTCTCTCTCTCTCTATATGTATGTATGTATACATATAGAGAGAGAGAGAGAGATGGGGTGCTTCCCTATATCCATCTCTCTCTCTCTCTATATTGGGGGTGCTTCCCTAAACCTCCGAATGGACTTCTTTTGGCTTGCTTCAAGGTGCCTTAGGGAGGCAAAAGGTTTAACTTTTAGGGTTAGGAACGCAAGATGTTTAACTTCACGCTAGTTAAGCAATGCAACTAGGAGACAAATAACATGTTGAAGGTTTTACATGAATTGTTGAATGTTTGAAGCACTTTGGTACAATCTACATATGTTTGCTTTTGCCTTCGGTTTTCACTTGAATACGTTTTATATATACTTCAGGCCAATGAGTTTTTAAAACATTTAATTCCTTTAAAAACTATGTTTGCATTTTTTTTGTATTACAATTTTTCTTTATTTTTTTTCCAAAAAATTTCACTGCCACTAGAAGGTCGTTGCACTTTTCTTGTGCTTTGTGCTTTTTAAAAAAACTGATTTTGGTAAGGAACTTCCCAACTCCCAAGGTGACTTTCATACTTGTTTGCAAATGAATAATATCAACACCACGTGGTTTTCTTATACATTATGAACAATCCCCGGAAATATAAAAGAGATTGAGGTTTTGGTATTTGTGGGCTTTATTAGTTTTATGGTTAACATGACCAACTTTAGTAAGGACTTTTAACATGAAATTCTCAAGTTCCGCAGCTGATGTTTCTCCAAACTAATGTAATCTGGGAATTCCTTCATATCATATGAGATGCAATGGCACCATGGAAATCAATGTTTTTTTTTTTTTTGCTTATTATGCTTGGTGATTGCTCTCAGAAACCAGCTTATCTTAAAATGCCATTCTTCTCTTTGCAGGCTGATTCTATGATACAGGAAGAGGTTCAGTTTCTTCGAGTGGCAATGGGGCATGAGGATGAATCATTTGAGGAGTTTGTTGAAGCACATAGAACATGTCTAAAGGATCTCATGTATTTCCCTACTCGCAATGCTTATGGTCTCTCTAGCGTTGCTGGGAATATGGAGAAGCTTGCAGCCATGCAGAATGAATTTGAGAATGTGAAAAAGAGGATGGATGATGAAGCTAAGAAGGCACAACGCCTTGAGCAGAAGATAAAGCTTCTCACGCATGGATATCAGGTATGTTAAGGCTTTGAGATATAACAGCGTCGGAATTGATTTTGTGTTTATTACTGTTAATCTGTTATTGACATTCTGATTTTATAGCTATTAGTTGTATTTGACTTTGACATTCCAATACTAGTATGTTCATTTTTTTCTGATAGTGTTTTTCTGGTTATTTTAAAGCTCAAGTCTTAGATCATTTGCATTTCATTCCTGGATCTTACAAACATGAGATCTGGGGGTTAACTGTTGGAGTATTATTTTAAATGAGCAGATGCGTGCTGGGAAGCTTTGGTCACAAATTGAGGAAACCTACAACAAGATGGATACTGCTGGAACAGAACTTGAGTGCTTCCAAGCTTTGCAAAAACAGGAGCAGATGGCAGCATCACACAGGATCAACTGTCTTTTGCAGGAAGTGAATAAGCAGCAGGAGCTTGAACAAAATCTTCAAAGGCGCTATGGGAATTTAATAGCCGAGCAGGATAGAATTCAGAGGCTTGTGGATGAGTACAGACTGCAAGCACAAGTAGAGGAAGAACTTGCTGCAAAGAAACGAGCAGAGGAAGAAATTGCAGCGAGGAAATGTGCCGAGGAGGAAATTGCAGCGAGGAAATGTGCCGAGGAGGAAATTGCAGCAAAGCTTTGTGAAGAGGAAGAAATTGCAGCAAAGAAACGTGAGGAAGAAATTGCAGCGAAGCTTTGTGAAGAGGAAGAAGTTGCTGAAAAGAAACAAGCAGAGGAAGAAACTGGAGCCATCACTTATGAAGAAGCAGTGAAGAAATGTTCTCTCGAGTTAGAATTTGCCACCAATCAAACTGACATGCAAAGCACAGAATCTGTTGAACCTGTAGCCTCAGAACTTGGGGTTTCTGTACCAAATAATTTGCATGGTGAAGCTGCAACAGAGCAAATAGATGCTTCCCAACACGAAGAAACTCATACAAGCCCTGAGCACATGGATGTTGATGGGCAGCCAGGGTCAGCTACAACCGGGATTTCTGCTTCTGAGGGAGAACAGACAGCATCCGCAGGTCATGTGCCAAGTGATCCTCGCCAGTTCAGTGGGGATGGAAACAACCCAAGTGATGTTTTGGTCCAAGGTGATGGAGGTAAAGTTGCCACTGATAATGATGATTCCCATTCCATTTCAGTTGCAGATGGGATGGAGATGATGGTCGACTCTGGGAGCCATACTGCTGATGATGCGGGGAAGGGTCTTGATATTGTGAAGGATATTAATGATGTACCTTGTAATGGTCTGGAGAAAGTTCCCGTTGATGGGCCAACTTCCCTGGAAACTGGGAACAATCCAGATGATAATTTGAGCGAACCAGCCAACAGCTTCCAGCATGATGATGGGGATAACGAGCCGGTTTCGTGCATTGAAATTAATATGGATGGGAATGATGTGGAACCGGTTACAATTAGTGGTGCGGACAGTAAGGAGTCCGTGCCCACTCCGGATGGAGATGCTGAACCAGTGGCTAATATTAACGAGTCTGAAGGTGCAATTGCAAAGCCAGATGGGGAGTGATGAAGGAATGGCGAAACCTGTGTCAAACATTCTGATGACGTTCCTGCCTTTCCTGGGAATGGTGAAATCATCAAGCTGGATTGATTTGCATTATCTTTCGGAGGTCATAATGGTTTGTTGTCTGTCTGGTGGTTCCAGTAATTTTTCCATTTGGGTTTTGCAAAGGATATGTTACTTTTTTATGTGGGGAACTGGTATCTACTATCTACATAGCATGGTCTCTTGCTTTTAAAAGGCAACATCAGAGGAACAGAGGAATCTTAATATTTTTGTTTACCATGTATTTGTAACGTCATGATTCAAATGAGTTTGTGATAACTGCGACTCATCAGGAAAAGAATGTTTGGTGGGGAATTGGTTAATTTTCCATTTTATATGAACGAGATTTCATGTCAGTGGTCACCCAAACGGATGTTTTAAGTTRGGAATGTTTCACCTTGAATCCTGGTATCACGTTTAGAGGGTAAAAACTAAAAAAGATGTTTATAATTTATTTAGGCATCACAGAGACATGGGATGGTTGAAGTGGGAATTTTCCATCCCCCTGAAAGATGTTTACAAATCTGGCTGTGTTTGTGCAAATAGAAGAGTAGTTGCGTAAATAAAGTTAATCTTTCTTTGCATTCCAAAATCAAAACAAAACATGTCTTTTTATTTTTATTTTAAGGAGAACATTTCAGGTTATGCTTTCATTTTAGGTTAGAAACACGGTTGAGCTGAGAATTGAGTTGCAGTTGCGTGACGCAAATAGATTTGATTTTAATCTAATTTATTTAAGTCGGATTTGATTTGAATATTTATTTATTTTTGGTAAAAGAATAATTGGCCATAATCGGATCTTATTGGATTTTGAAAATGTGATTGGTTTATTAATTTAATCAAATTTCGATATTGCATCTCCAGAATTCGAGTAAGTATACGTATCGACTATGCACTATTGGACCCTAATGGAGGGGTAAGCGGATTAGCTGGAGACAAATACAAATACACCCGGCTGAACTACCTATCAAGGTTGAACACGTCAATGTTCAGTATAGTTGGGTCTCAGATGGACCCACAGTAAGCACTGGCGTTTTCAACTGTGATAGATAGTTCAGCCAGGTGTGTATGATTTTGTCTCGAGTTCATCTGGACTGACTGGAGAAAGGGGTTCTCTCTCTCTCTCTCTCTCGCTATATATATATATATATATATATAATTTCGTAGAATTATACAAAATTCATACAGGCTTAAGGGTCTGTTTGGTTTACTGTTAGAATCTGAATTGAAATATCCTCGAATCAAAATCAAAGTTGCCTATTCCCAATGCCTGCTTGGTTCAGACGAGAATCAAAATCCAATTTCAATTGTTGATAGAATGGTTCAATTGGATTCAACTGAATTATTTTATTTTATTTTAATTTGTTAATGCTTTATTATTTATTATTACTTTAGTAATATAATATTAAGACTTTATTAATACATTATTATTATTGTTGTTAGTAACTTAGTATTATTTTATTTGTACTTAATAATTATATTTTTATTATTTTAATAATATTTTATTATTTTAATATTACTATATTATTATTATCTTATTATTTATATTTTATAAATATTAGGATTTGGGAGTTTTATTGTTGAAAAATCTTTACTTATAAACTCTAGAATGGGAATCCCATTGGGGGGTAGGTGGGGTTTCGGCTTGGGAATCCCATTCTGCTAAGATTGGGAATTGGAGAATCTCATGAAACGGCTGGGAATAAAAGACATGTGTTCAACTCCTACTGACCACAGGCTGAGCTTTCAAGTTTAACTGTATTTAACAAGGAGAGATGTTTGACAAGATTTGAAAATTAATAATTAATGGCATTAACGGTGAATTAATGGGTTCAATTTGAAATTTGAAATCTAAATATCATAATTAATGGGAATTATGATGATAATAAATAGGGTAGAAAGTTGGTAAAATACAATTAATGACAGGATTTGAATTTCAAAAAAGAAAAGTGGTTTGTATCAGCTCGTATCGTATCGACTGATCCAAACCAATACAAAGGCCGATACAATCGATATTTCGTGGCACGAGGGGAACATTTGGCACCAAGATTCCTCCCGTATCGCGTAATGGGTGCTCAAGATACTGATACGGTCGTGCCGGTATTTAAAACCACGATATTGAATGGGAATTTGCTTTGGAGTTTGAACCCGAATATTCGCCAACGAACCAAATTCGGATCCCTTGATGTATGCGTTTCGATCGGATCGATATGTTTGCAGCCCTAAAATGGCAAATCAACCAAGCACTAGTAAGGCTGCAACTTGGGCCGGGTTGACCCGAACCCAACCCAAAAAAAATCGGGTTGGGTTGGGTCGGGTTGATGATCGGGTTAGTGTTAGGGTTGAAATTCTTAAACCTGACCTTAGTTCGGGTTAGATTAGGATTGACCCTTTGGGCAACCAAACCCAACCCCCTATAGTACTAGACTACTAGTCTACTAGTCTACAACTCTACTATATGTCATATATATAATTATATATAACATACATTGATTTATTTAGATGTATCATAGTTGTATAGCCCCGTCTCTTTAAGTTATTCATAGGTACTTGATTATTTGTTTTTTCCTTTTGTCTTATAATTTTTACGTGTGACCTATCTAATAGATTCAAATTATTTGCTTGATCATATGAGTTGTTATTAGTGATTTTATTTCCATAATTTTGTGTTTCATTATTGTTGATTTCATGAATTTATATTTGAGAAAAAATCTATCATAAGTCATAACTTATGATAAACAAATACTTATTTTTCTACTAGATTTTAAGGGATGGAAAGATTGGGTTGGGCCTAACCTGAGCCCAATTCAACTTGAACTTGACATCGGATTGGGTTAGGATTGAAGGAATTAATTAGGGTTAGGGTTAGGGTTGGGTTAGGGTTAGAGTTGAGGGTTTAGAACATAGGATCGGAGTAGGGTTGGCCTCAACCTGACCTAATTAGTGAACAATAGCTATTGTACTTACCGGGATGGGCAGTAATGAGTGATGATGGTTCACGAGTGAGCAATGAGCAGAGATCAAATCAGCCCCTACAAGATTACCCCCATAACGTCCCACAGCACATCCTCGCCGTGTATTGGAAAGATCCTTCGATGATGACATACCTGTGGGGGGCAATCTTGTGGGCTGATTTGAACTCGAATGAGCATGTCTGTGGGGGTGAATGTGGATCACGTTTACACTGTTGGGTTGAAAGGCTTTGCCAGATCAAATAAGCTCCCCACAGGATTACCCCTCCCCCAACGTTCGACAGCACATCCCCGCCGTATATTGGGAACATCTCCCGATGATATGAAATGGTGATGTCATCATCGGGAGATGTGGGGG